AGAGCGGCTTGGTGGTTTAGAGCAAAGTTTCAAAATAGAGCACCGAAATTTGCTCCCTTAACACGGATCCAGCTAGCTAGCTCATCCTTTTGTTTTCACATTTTTGCTTGGTTTAATAATAAAGAAAGAAAAAAAGACATAATTAATAATCCGTTAAAAAATCAAGGAATATAAAAGTATTATAGGGATTATATACTGTCTGCTTACTCATAAACTGCCAATGCTTTAAACTTTGCACACGTGTCATGGATGATAGAACTTTTCAGCAAGTATTTTGTTTTTTTATTTAACAATATTAACAAAAACTAATTCATGCGGCGAAAACAGAACAGCACAGCACAGCACAGGAGAAAACACTATTCCTTAAAACAACATGTTTGACTAAATTGTCCTTCTCAAGAAAATCTATTTTCTTCGGAGTAAAACTGTCTTTTTCAATGCTTCATTTATTATTATAAAAATAATTAGAGACAACTCTGTTTTTTTTCAGGGAGTAATGATATTGTTTTCTTTTAAAAAAACTCAAACAACTAACATTAAAGATATTTTTGAATTTTTATTTTGTTTATAACATAATAAAATGGTTAAATTAACTTTAAAAGTACAGTTTTTTTAAATGAACACTAGGGATTCTTTTGTAATTTCATCTTGGCTTTTTAAAGAGAGGCAATTTAATAGTTTAATATATGTAAAAAAAGTTATTTGTTCATATGTGTAACGCTTCAACAAGTAATTTGTTCTATAATATTTAAGCGGCGACTTGCAATAGTTAACAATAAATTTTTTTGATGTTTTTTTTTTTTTCTCATGATGAGACCTGACTCACCGAGTAATATGTGTGATGTATTTTTCTAATTTAGTATCAATTTATTTTTTTGTTTTTGCTCCCTCTTTAATTTATGTGTAAGACCTTCCAAAACTTCACAACAACCTTTTAATTTTTTTTTTTATATATTTGGTTTTTTTATATGAATTATTTTATAGATTTAAGATTTAATTTTTGAATCTTTCATATTTAGTTCTAATATTTTTATTGCTATTTATTTTATTTTAGATTATTTTTAAAATTATTTTTTTTACAATTTTAACCTCCTTCATATTAATTGCTATTTTTTCCTTTGATAAAAATTTTAAATTAATTTTTTATAATTTTATTTTTCAATATTGAATTGAGTTTCTTGATTGAATCAGGATATTAACTCAAGTTTAGAAGATTAATTTGGGTTCGTTTGTTTTTTTTTAAATTATTTTTTAAGTTTTTTTTTTAATTTTATTTGATTTAATTGAAGTTTGAGTTCGCTGTTATTTATTTTCTATGAGATTTTTCACTAATTTTGAAAATGACTTTAGGTATCCTGAGTTTTTTTTCTTGTTGCTCTTTTTTAAATTTGGATTTTTTAAAATAAATTTTGGTTTTGAATAAAATTAAATCAATTATTTAAATATAAGCATGTTTTGCTTACTTTATGATATTTTTTTTTGCTTAAATATAGTTTATTTTGAGTCCTTTTAAAATATTAAGATAGTGATATATTAAAATATATTTTAAAAAAAAAATATTTAGACAGCAACATATTAATTTGACCTAAACCAACCGTGATTAACCAGTAAAATTCATAATTTAAGGCATGATACTGTAATGCCCCATGAATCCATATTGAAATAAAATAAGAAGTTTAAAGATTAACAATAAAAAAATCCAAAATAATTCATATTTAAGCAAAAAAAAAATCACATATCATCCTTATATTTAAGCAATTAATTTAATTTAATTAAAAATTAATTATCCTATTTATTTTTTATTTTTCCCCCCTCTGGATTCAAGGAGACACTACACTTATAAACTTAATCTAAAATAAAGACATAAAGCAGTCTTACAAAACCAAAAAGAGTACTGGTGTCTTAAGATTTAAAAGTTTTTAAAAGGATAAATTTCTCTCATTTAATGCCAAACAAAACAAGAACAGGTGAAAAACAAATAACTAGGAAGTAAAAAACTAGGAAGGTAAAAGAAAGCAAATAAAAACAACAATAAAAAACATAAAATTTTATAGATAAGTAGCATACGCAAGATTGATTATTTTTGTCCAGCAACCCAATATCCTATTTATTTATTTATTTTTATAATATTTGAGTTTCATATAAATATTTAATTATAATTCTATATAGATTGCTTATATGAAAAGAGGAGCTTAATCATTAAATCTTAATAGAATCTAAACTTTTTTTTTACTGAAGATTACATAAAATTATATTTGATTAGTTTAATATGTTGAGGAATTTCATTCCAAGGAGGATTCAATTTTTTAATTATTATGCGAGCTCAAAATCTAATAGTCAATTATTTTTGTTTATGTTTAGGAGTGGTTAATTTCATTATTCGTGATTATTTTTAATTTTTTTTATTTGATCATGAATAATTGATATTCTTATATAATCAACATTTGAATATTTACTTTTAGTGTAAAAAAATAATAAAATACGAAATAATTATATTTATTGCCAAGGTAACATTTTAGGCTTTTCGGAAAAAAATCACAAGTAATCTTTCAAGTTTTATGTTGGGATAAAATTATTCCACTAACATTGTTAACATTTTTAATATATTTTGTTTCTTTTATTCTCTCTTTTTTTTTAAATAAAAAAGCAAAATTCCAATCCATTTTTTTCACCATATGATATGTGGCAATGGTTACGATGTGATTATTTTTAATGTCAATAATAAAAAAATCAATATTAGAATGAAAAATGAAAACTATCTAATATCTATAAATGTTTGCCAATTATTTGGATTTACTCATGTTCAACCATAGCAAGTCAATTATAAATTATTTTAGTTTTCATGATATTGTTTTGGAAATTTTTAAAATGCCATTGAGTATCTAAGTTATAAAGATTCGGTATGTGATATTAATATAAATTAAAATTAAAATTATAAATTTAAAGAGTTGATTTAAATTAATTTTTTATTAAAAAATTAAAATTATATCGATATAAAAAATTAAATTAATAAAAATTAAATTTTAATCGGATCATAACCATGTCAATTAAGTTAATAAATTAACTTGAATTTTTAACTGATTGGACCAATATTTTTTTAAAAACTTTTTTAAATATGAATTGATCTATATTTTAAGTCAACTCACCAGATCTGTCAGGTTATAATCAAAACATGTAGATGCGCTCGTGACCGCCGAATGACACAATCGTTTCCAACTGGCTTGCAGCGACGAGCTCCGAAAGAGAGCACCACAGGGTTGAAAAAATGGAAGATGTTTCGATGAATCTGATGAGCTGGTGGGCTCAAACATAGTTCCCCCTCGCTGTCTGCTTCCCATCAGCGATATTCGTCAGATCTGTCTTGACTAGAGATGGAGCCTCCAAATACATAGGAACGACTCCCAGATCGTGAGCTCGACTTCCGTACAATAACCTTCATGTTTTTTTGGAAATTGAATCGGTTTTGTAGCATATTCAAATTCAATTCTTTTCTTGTCAGGTTCTGCTTAGATTCCATTTTTATGAACAAGTTTGTATTTTTATTTATATTCTTTTAATCAAATATGTTTATGTCTCTTATGTATTTGTTTATTCTATCTTGAAATATTAATCAAGCGTAACTTTCTAAATAGAAAAAACAAGAGAAATAAAAAGAAAAAGAAATGGAATAGAAACTACTCATAAACTCGACCAAATAGAGAAAGATAAATATTTTTATTTATTTATTTCAATTTCAATAACAAAGTTTTAAATCATGATGTTTTAGTGATTTATTTTGTTTGTAAACTTTATCTTTTTCCATCTTTTATATATATATATATAATTTTTCTTATATTTTTATAGATCATGGGCCGTACATATGATTTTCTTTGTGAATTTTTTTTTCTGCAAGTTAAATTGATCAAATTTATATTACATTAACTCAAATTTAACCTTTCTGATGAACCATGCTTTCAATATCATAAAAAGAAAATCTATTTATGATAAAAATAAACTGATTTCTTTATTAACTTTTTTATATATATATATATCTAGGTAATCGTATCACGAAATGTCAAAAAAATATATATATATATATATATATATATATATATATATCTAGGTAATCGTATCACGAAATGTCAAAAAAAAAATGGATACATTGTTTTATACAAGAAGTGTTTGTTGAAGGAGAATCATCACATTCAAGTGTTTGAAAAAAAAGATTAGGATGCAATTGAAAAAAAATAAAGAGTTGGAGGATTTGAAATAACAATTCAGCTCATAAAAGGAGCAAAATTATCAAAGGAAACCACAAGTCACCATACTTTCCCGTATATGACCAGTCCTGCCTACTTCGCCATACAGACACGGCGAGCACGAGGGACCATACAATCCTAGTCAGCCATGTGATTACGCTTACCCATAATCTTTTTTAAAAAAAAAAATTAATTTAAAATAAAAAAATAAAAAAATTTAAAATATAAAGATAAATAGGGATTGTACGTAATATTGGTGCCAGCAGGCGACATGGGTCACAGCTGCACGTGGATTACAAGGGTTTCTGGATGACATGCAGGCCACCTGGATGCTACATGTTCAAGATTTTTTTTATAAAAACTTGAAAAAAAATATAATTTTAATAAAAAAATCAAGTTATTTTACCGATCTAAACCTTGAATCAACGGTTATTAAAGCAATTTGCTAGGCCGGTTTTACTATATATTTCTAGGAATTAGGTGGTTCCTTATCCTCTACTTCTCCTGAAGGGTCATTTGGTATTGTTTTATAACAAAATGATGAAATTTTAAAATATTATCATATGTGTTTTAAAATATTATTTTTAAAGTGTTTATTTATTTTACATAGAAACAATACCTTTAAAATATAACTAAACTCTTTAAATCTTTGAAAAAATAAGATAATTTTTTTTAATATATGTTTTTTTCTATATAATAACACAATAACATGTATAT